AGTCGGAAAAAAATGTTTCAAATAGATAAAAGGGCAAACAAAAAGTTTTTTAAAGGGACCTCAGAGGCCTCAAAACCAAAATTGGGAAAAAAAAAGAAAAAATCTTTTTGAAAAATGTTACGATGTTTGGGAAATTCCTACATGGTTTCCCCTCTTTCTCGTCAGCTGAATTTCCAGGGGTTTTAAACCCCTGTTCCCGTTTTCCTGTCTCAAAAACTTCAAGGGAAAAGGGACACTGTCAATTGATGAGCTAAATAACATGAAACTGGTTTGACAAATGTCAATTAATCAGACAGGACCCAGTAACATGTGCAAGACATTTCAAGCATCAAGTTGACAAGCTTATTAATGAATTCCTTCTAAGTTCCAACAGCCCTATTGGAAAGGTAACAGACTACTTTTACAAAGTAGAATTTTCAAATGCGAGGGTCACCGCATATTCATATGCTTATTTGGGGTTGAAGACTCACCAAAAAATTAGAAGACAACTGTGGAAAATTTTGTCGGATGTCATAACTTTCGTGGATCAGAATGTTACAGCTTCCAAAGATCCAGAAATAGACGACCTCGTTAAAATGCAAAAGAGCATGCTCACAGCAGAACCTGTAGAAAAAAGGACAAAGAAATCTGCAGATTTGGTTTTCCACTACCCCCATTACCAGAAACCTCGTATATTGACTCCCTTAGATACTGATGATCAGGATGCTGAAAAACACAAAACAAATTGGAAGAGCATTTTCAACTACCTAAATAAAAAACAAAGGAAAGACCTCACAATGGAATTCAACACATTTCTTGATAAACTGCAGTTAAGCTATGATGATTATATCTTTGCTATCAGATCGTCCATTTCTGGAAAAAAGGTATTTTTACAGAGAACTGTCAGTGAATCTCGTGTCAACAGCTACAGTAAAACACTGCTACAATGCTGGAGAGCAAATATGGACTTGCAGTTTGTTCTTGACCCATATGCATGTGCCATGTATATTGTAACGTACATAGCTAAGAGCCAAAGAGGTATGAGCAATCTTCTTTATGCTGCCACCAAGGAGGCACGTGAAGGAAACATGGACTTGAGGAAGCAAGTGAGATCTATTGGTCACCAATTTCTCACTCATGTAGAGATATCAGCTCAAGAAGCAGTTTACTACATACTTCAAATGCCTCTGAAAAAGTCATCCAGAGATGTTGTGTTTATCAATACTGCTCCACCAGAAGAAAGAACGGGTCTGTTAAAATCAATGAAAGTGATTAAAGAACTTCCAGATGATTGCTCAGATATTCAAACAGTCAGTATTCACCAGAGGTATGCATCAAGACCAAAGTCACTGCATAATGTTTGTTTAGCAGACTTTGCATCAAAGTATAGAGTATGTTACTCAACAAAGAAAACACATTGTCCAGAAACTGATGACAGTGAAGATTACGACAATGACACAGAACAGATAACATACAGATTTGGCAATGTCACCATGAAGAAACGAACAAGACCTGTCTGCATTCGATATGTAAGATACCAAGAAGCTTTAGATCAAGAAAATTACTTTCGAGAAATACTTCTTTTATTTTACCCATGGACTAATGAATCTGATTTAATGGGCAAAAGTGAAACATTCACAGAGCACTACAAGGTAATATCAAAACAGTTTGACATTAAATCCACAATGGACGCGTATAATCACAAATTTCCGCTCTTGGATCAAGCAATTTTGGATGCTGAAAATACAACAGAGGAAGCAATGCATGAAAAGTGGAATGAATATGCTCCTTCTGCGTGTAAAGAGGACAACCAAAATGAAGATACTAATATGTCATCAAATGTGTTTGCAGAACTTGTTCCTCCAGATTTGAGAGTATCTGATGCAGATTCTACAGGCCAAGAAATCAATACATGTGGGACACTCAACCACTATATGAAAGATGAAGACTACTTGAAGCTTATCAGATCATTGAATGTGCAACAACAGCACTATTTTCTGCATATTCTAAACCACTTCAAGACTTCAGAAGAGCCTCTGTACCAGTTTTTAACTGGTGGAGCTGGAGTAGGAAAATCTGTGTTAGTTAAAGCCATTTATCAAGCTTTGACTCGTTTTTTCAATTCGAGACCTGGAGCAAATCCAGATGATTCAAAAGTACTTTTAGCAGCTCCTACAGGAAAAGCAGCTCATCTTATAAAAGGAAACACGTTGCACTTTCTCCTCAAAATACCAGCAAATCAAGGTTTTCAGTACAAGCCTTTAGTACATGAAAAACTTAATACTTTGCAGTGTACTTTCAGACATGCTAGGCTGCTCATCATTGATGAGATATCTATGGTAGGAAACAAAATGTTCAGTTTCATTCATCAGAGACTACAACAAATTATGGGCTCCAACAAACTGTTTGGTGGCCTTTCCATATTAGCAGTTGGAGACATGTTCCAGCTTAAACCAGTATTTGATGGATGGATCTTTGAAAATTTGTCAAATGATTACGGACCACTAGCAACGAACTTGTGGAATGAACACTTTAAAATGTTTGAATTACAAGAAATCATGAGGCAGAAAGATTGTAAGCAATTTGCAGAAGTATTAAATAGACTTCGTGAGTCAAATCACACTAAAGCAGATGTTACATTTCTTCTTCAGAGAAAGATTTCAACAGACTTGATGCACCCACAGTATCCACTCACTGTGCCCCATATTTACATACGAAATGCAGATGTTGATTCACACAACCAAATTGTTTGTCAGGTACAAGGGTCAAAGTGTTTAAAAATAGAAGCCTTGGATGTGGTATTAGGTGATGTTTCTTCAGAAATAAAATCTAGGATTTTGAATTCTACTCCAAGTGACATTTCAAAAACAATGGGACTTGCTAAACAATTGAACACTGCAATTGGATTAAGAAACGAATTATCATGTAACATTCAAGTTGAAGATGGAATGAGCAATGGTGCAGCTTTTAAACTGGAAGGTGTTGGCCCATGTGACAAAAAAGGGAATTTTCAATATCTTTGGGCTTTTCATTTTGAAAGTGATGATATTGGCAAACAGTGTAGACAACAAAACCGAAATTTATACAAAAGCAATATCAATAAGGTTTGGACCCCAATATTCACAGTAAAACGACAGTTCCCTGTAGGACGTTATAAGTCAGCATGTGTTATGAGGCAACAGTTCCCAGTTCGCTGCGCTGCTGCAAAAACCACTCATAGATGTCAAGGAGACACTATGCAAAGTGCTGTAGTGGACTTCTCAGGTCGAACTTTCCCTCATTCTCATTACGTTGCAATCAGCAGAGTTACCAGTTTGAAACATCTTTACATCAGAAATCTGAATGAGACAAAAATCAAAGTAGACAGTAGAGTTCAAGCAGAACAAGAAAGACTACGAAAGGAAATGTTAACACAATGTCTCATAACCCACATTCATCAGGTTGGCTGTTTTACAATACTCTTCCAAAATGTAAGATCATTACGCAAACATATATGCGATATACAAGCAAGCTGTATGTATCGTTTTCCAGACTGTATGATATTTGCAGAAACAAAGTTGAATCATACCGATCAAGATGAGCTCTACAGTATTCCTGGTTACCAGCTATTTAGGTTTGACTGGCCAAACACTGGAAATAAAAGACCTACATATGGATTAGCTGTATATTCCAAGAAGCCAATTCTCTCATCTTCTTTCACTTACAGAACTGTCCATTCAGCCAATGATGTCATTGAGATGGTGCAATTTCAACTTGATGGAATTTCCTCACATTTACCTATCGTCAATGTTGCTGGATTATATGTATCTCCAAAAACAAAGAAGAATACTGTAAAAACATTCCTATCTAACATATCAAAGGACAATACACAGCAGCCGCAGATTTATATTGGTGATTTCAATCATGATTTAAAAAAGATACCGAGAGATACTTATATTGAAGCTGTACTTCACTGTGCACAACTTGTTGACTGCTCCACAACAGACTTTCAAACATTAATAGATCATGTATACGTTACACGAGATCTAACAGTTGCTAGTTGTTCTGTGCTGGAGACTTACTTCTCAGACCACAAACCAGTTCTTCTTCAACTGAGATGTGAATCTTAAAAATTTACAGTTCTTTGGAACATACCAAGTGTACATATGACATAAATAGTGTAAATTGATAATTTGTAATATATTGCAGACTGATAGACTTCCATGAATTGGCTTTTACCAGTAAATCATATAACTTATATTCAGTTTCGTGATGCTACACTGTGCTTACATACAGAAATTAGGAGCATTCGAAGATAGTGAGAATGAATGTGTTCAACGAGATGCCCCAATTGGTAAAAATATACTCAATGTCACGATTTCATGAACATTTAGCATGACATTAAATAATGAATTGAACTTCCTTCATGTAATTCAAATATCAGTTTACAACGCATTATCTACATAGTGGACCCACGAAAAGTAACCAGTCACCCACAGCCTGTGTGAAAGAGATCCACTTGTGACCAACTGACAACATCTAAAAAAGCTTGATAAAATTTATCTATTACTTGTATTATAAGGTAACTATAATACTTTCACATACAAAGTCAAATCTATATATTATGCTGATTGTACAAAAATATACTGCTTCCTTGGCATAGATTTCTTGAAAAATTATGTTATTATGTCATTTACCAAGGTGTTCTGAGTGACGTAAAAATACCTTATTCTCTCAAAGTGGGTTTAATACTATTAAAATTATTTAAGGCTCAACTCAGTTTTTTTTTCTTTCTTACCAGCCCTCTTTTGACTTAAACATTTCAAACTTTGCTGCAGTGTTCAAGGGTATCACACAATTCAGTAAAATAATTCTTCACTAAATATCTTAATGCTCATGGCCATTGTTCACTTTAAAAATACAGAGATTCTTGTATTGCCTTTTACTGCAAAAACTTTTTTTATTGGCAAGCAATAAAAAAGTCGAGCGCGCTGTCTTACGGACAGCTCTTGTTGTAATTATTGTATTTTTTTTTATTTCAGGCACCACAACAATGTCATTAAGTGTCGGAAGTATGTAATAAATCTTTGTTAATATTGTAATAAATATTGTTAAATAACTCATTATGCTCAAATATACTGTTTCTTATTATCAAAATACGAAATGAGGAATATATTATGCTTATTAAATGAAGTCAGTTAATAAATTAATGTAGAATTTGTAAAGAAAATCCTCAGACAGTAGTGCAAAAATATATCAAGATGACAAAAGCAGTTTGATTAGGATTGTTTTTGAACAATGAAAAATGTCACACATTTAACGCCCCCTAACACCGACTTAATCAATATTCAGCATATGGTTAAAGGTATAACAATTCTGGAATAGGAGAGAGACCGAAAGAAAAGTAATATAGGAAATACTGGCAAATAGTAGAATTTGTGAAATCGGTAATTAAATGCTCATTGAGCCGGTGCTAGGGGGCGTAAAAGATACAACTAATCTATTCTAAGTCTTGGACACATCAAACATACCAAACTTAACTGTGTAAAAGTCTCACGTTTTTGTGTTGTTATTTTTCAGAAATATAAAAAGGGATTTTATTGACTCTTATTTGACTTTGGCAAACCGAATTTGAATTTTACGCCCTCAATGCTGTGTTGTTTTTCCCGTAATTTTACATAATAAAACTAAAATCATAATGATCAAATATGTCATTTTATTTGAATTTTATATCCATAAAAATGTATAATTCAGCCTCATTACATTGTACTGTATCATTTATATGTATATGTGTTTCTATATATTTCAATATTAATGTACCTTATCCTGTTTCTTTTTAGCAAATGAATATAAGATAACACTTAAAATGGCCCTTGACATACCCTGTGTAGCGGCAGATCTGCAAGTTCCAACGAAATATGATAGAATTAAAGCATCGATTGAATCTATGGTAAGTGTTTTAGCTTGTTTGTTTGGTTTTGTGCACCAACACAGTTTAGAGTTTAGGTCATATGACGCAAAAACAGACAAGATGATTTTGGCATGCCTAGGGTGTAACAAACTTATAGCAACACTAGGGAACAAAGCCATCTCACATGCTAGAGCTAAGAGATGCATAGACCGTAATATATATATTACGAACCCATTTAGTTGCCTCTTGTGATCACGCAGAGTTAAACGGTTGCTGCATTTCTGATGCCTCGACCCGTAAAGGCAAACCATCAGCTAACTGCTATTATTTGCCGTTTATCTCGCCATTATCACCTCACTGTTGGTGTTATTTAAAGGTGGATATCTGTATATCAAAATATTTCTGTTTCTTTTTGTCCATTATCATGATACGAATACGAATACGAATACGAATACGAATTTTATTAAGCATAAAACAAAATACATTGCTTAAAGCCAATTAACAATGATACACATGTACAGTGAGAAAAATAGCAGTTAACAATTATACACAAGTTTTCTGAAGAATACAAGCTAATATGGGAACAAATAAGACTTGTACTTATCAACAATATAGTTTTTCAGAAAAAATATCAGATTAAGATATACGTTTCCGATTTGCCCAATACAAAAATTTAGCTAAGGCACATATAGATTTCTTTGAGTCTGACGACAAGATACTATCTAATTTATTCATAGAAGGCCAATGGCAGTAGTATTTTTTAAAATATTTTGTTCGAAGATCTCGGTAGTTGGGACACACCAGGAGAAAGTGGTATTCACTCTCTATTTGCTTCATATTGCATGATTTACATAATCGCTGTTCTCTAGGAATGTTTTCGTATCTACCAGTTTCTATAAATAAATTATGGGAAGAAGTTCGAAATCTAGTTAAAGCAGTTCTGTATTTACTTTCTTGGACATAATCTAAATACTTTTCCATTTCAAAAGAATGCTTAAATATACAATATGTTTGTAATCTTGGTGAATTATTGATAGATGCATACCAACTTTGTAGAAAGGTGTCAATTAATCTTTGTTTAATAGTATTATATGGTATATCTATATCAAACTGATTGTCCCAAATATATGAAAAGCCAAGACTTGACAAGGTGTCTTTGATAAAAGAAGCCCAATTGTTTCCGTTGTAATTTCGACCGACATCTGTGTCTGACTTAAGAAGTAAATACGCTTGCTTAACAAGTGATACATCATTAAGTTTAAGTATTTTTGACCAATATCTTATCATGTTAAGTTTTCTAGTAATATGTAACGGGTAACGACCAAGCTCACCATAAAGTGCTGACAAGTTAGTAGATTTTTTAACCCCTAAGACTCTCCGCAAAAATTTAGTATGAATAACTTCTATATCTTTAGCATCGTGCATTCCCCATATCTCCGAATTATAATTCAAAATGGAACCGACTAGAGAATCAAACAATTTACATTTCTGATATGTTGGCAGTTCTATATTTTTAAATACTTTAAACAGGTTATGTAAAGCAAATGAGGCATGTTGAGCTATTCTGTTACAATATACAGTCCAATCGCTAAAGATTGAATATTCCATCCATAAACAGATTTTATAACGGGCTCATTGGTTGGTTCAAAATTTAGTCAAAAGTTATTTTTAGCACCTATATAAAAAGCTGAGCGGCGTGGAAGCGGTCTGCCTGCTCGCCCATATGGTCTCTTTCCGGTGGCGAGGGTAAACAAACCCAAACACACACAGTAGCAGTTTTTTTTCATATAATAAGCTTTGAAGGTGCAATGTAAATTTTCAAGTTATTTTAACATAAAATTAATCTAGCTTTACACAGTAATAATCACCAGCCATTGACAAAATTTCGCCAAACCTGAAATAAATCGTAAAAACCAAAGTTGTCTTCTTGTTTTTGTGTTTGAATAAATGGAATAATACTTTTTCATGTGTCATTCGTGTCAAATTAGTGAATGATCTTATTATAAAGTATTTACGTTTTTATTTGTAGTTGAAAGCCAAACTCCCTTCAACTTTACGTGTTGTTGCCTATAATATTAGGTAAGCAGTTTTTTCTATACTTGTTGCATTATAGTTGCATCATATTATAAAATCTTTTTTGAGTAATGATAAGAAAATTCAAATAGATGAAAACAAATCAGTTTTATTTGCTTTTTACTCGTAAATGGATAATATTGAAAAGTGTAATCTTTTTCACGCCTCATATTACACGCCTACTAAACGGTGGCTCTTTCACATTTTGGTGATCTGTTTAAATGAGAGCCATCGACACTTCCGTTGCAGAGCCCTCGATGAAAGAGGTTAGGACAATGCTATATGCACGATTAAGTGGGCCTGTATCTACTTTACGGTAGGGAAATCATTCAAAATGTGTCTCCTCGTAAAAGAAAACCCACAAGGTTATATTTAGTAAAAGTTCTAGCAACGTCATTTCAGGGTATTTCTTATCGAAACTGCACCCAACATGGTGAGAAAAATGTTCTACGTGGCATGACATTCTTCGATTTTTGAAAAACAAGCATGATCTTTTTAAATTGATAATTTTACTAAAATTTCGTACCTCTTTCAGACTTGTTTTCATCGAGGGCTCTGCAACGGAAGTGTCGATGGCTCTCATTTAAACAGATCACCAAAATGTGAAAGAGCCACCGTTTAGTAGGCGTGTATTACTATTAATGTTTTCAATTTCAATTACTATTAATATATTGTCAATTTATTTCTGCTGAGGTACATATGGGAACAACATACATTTCTCATATTAAAGTTGTTATGTAAAAAACGAAGTAATGTCATTTCACATAAGTTTTTAATGTTGAGTTCTATTTCAGCCGGTGCCAGGGGGTGAACTTTAGCTTTTACTTACCATTACTGTTTATGAAAAATGTGAACAAACATAGCCTGTAACATTTTTAACTTTAACGTGTTGGGCATTCCTTTATGTTTTAGTGTATTAAAATCCAATGCTCTTTAGCATCGGCGTAGGCAGCATTTAAGCTACAGCACAATGAAATTTTGCAATCGATGATCCCAAATGATCAGAAAAGTACAACAACATTTAACAATTGAATAAAGTATGAAGGAAATCTGAAAAAAATCCCAAACTGCCCGTTTAAACCCACAATAAGGTGAACTAAAATGAAATAAAGCCATGACAGACATGAATTTCAATTAATTAACGGGTTGTATTTATTATTCCTCGAAGGGTTTCCCCTTTTTGAATTTTTTAAAAAAGAAAAAGAAAAAATTCTGTTTTCCTTTTTCCTTTTTAATTTTTGGTCCATTTTAAAAAGAAAGAAAAGCCCTTTTTTTAAAGGACAAAAAAAGGGGAAAAGACCTGTTAACCAAAAGAAACCATAAGAGGGCTCGCCCAAAGAATAGGTCAAATTTTTTTTTTTCGGATTTCGGTGTAAAAGGTCAATGAAACCACGCCAAAAAATTAAAAGAATATTTTTAAAAATTTTTATTGGTGCCCTTTTTTTGAAAATATTTTTTCATTTTTTATGGAATACTTTGTAAAATCATTGACATGATGCGGCATTGTCTTTTCTCCAGGTGTGGATCAATAGTATTCGAAAGTCAAATAATAATACGTAACACCGATGCGGAGAAATCTCGTGTCGCCGGTGATTTGCAAAACATTAGAAACGGTGGCACAATGGCGGTGGATGGAGTCAACACTAAAGCCACTGCTCTTACAGTCAACGGATGCGCATGTAATTTGTTTTCTTTTTACTGTCTGACTCTAATGCTAATCCTATCTTAAAGGTTAGATATTTTAACTTATAGAATAGTTTCAGTGTTATCATGGTATTAAAACGAGATGTCTTTTATCATTTGTCTTCGTCAAAATGTCTACTGATTGACTGCATCTACCTTGCAGATGTTTTGGACCTACCGTGTAGATTATTTGGATATCATTTAAAGAGAAATAACTGTTTTCTTAAAATGAAAATTAAACAAAACAAGTAAATTGAGTAGGTTGAAGTCAAGGCGACATTAAAGCTACTTGCTTTCAATAAATGACACTTTCAGGAGTATTTTAAAGAACACAATTCTATAAATGCAAAATGATATGTTATCATGTTCTTGTAATTGCCAGTTTGTTGTTTACAGTAGTGATCAGAAGTATAAATATAAATCTAATATTTCAGTGAGTATAACTTCCGGTACTGACAATACAGGAACCAAAGTTTGTAGAGTACATTCAACTTTAGTCACCTGTCCTACAGGGCAAACATGTCAATATGTAGACAACACAGCATCTTGCAGGTAATGCTATTTTATATAAGTTTATTGTTGCGCGAACAGTCTTTTTTATATGTTCCATTAATTAATTAATAAAGAAAACTGTTTATGATACAATATAAAGACTACGATACCTAAATCCAATCTTTTTTTAAGAATTGCGCGTTACCGATACATTCTGAAGGACATTTGTAGAATATTTTCGTTGGTCATGCGAATAATTGGTCATATTTGTCATTGAAAAATTTGTAACTGAACACCAAATGTTTATTTGTACCTGTTCACTGATCATTTAAACTTTCATGAGCATAATGCCACTTACCGAAATCGATACTGATTTAATAAAGGCATATTATTATTTTTTTTTTTTTTATTTTTTTTTACACAATACATAACATTTATGCATATACATACAATATATGAAATAAACGTATAAGGAGGAATAAGAGATTTCTTTTTAGAATCTACAAAGTTTATAAATATAATAAAGGTAATAATTCAATAGTATTTTAACAGAGTTGACAAATTTTTAATACCAGACTTATTTTAGTATAACATAAGCAAAAGATTCATTTTCGGAAACTTTACTTTACAATATTACAGAACGTATTTGACATAAAGGAGAAATTCCAATTTTACATTGAACATATATAATTGAAAAAAAAAGTCATTAATTCAAGGGAAACACCTCCTACTATCTTAAAATTGATATCCATTTAAGAGTTGCACCTCTTGTCATGAATACTTTATGCATTTATATCATGAGAAAGATTAAAAAAGACCAAATGTCATTCAAGGTGTTTAAAAAAGAAAGATACAAAAAGGGCAGTGGGTACAATACAGAGTGGATCAAGCCTAAATAAATGATCTTAAAACATTAGTCTCAATTAGGCAGCAAAGAAATATATTTTCCCCATAAATTGTCAAACTTTGAAACTTTATTTTGTTTTTTTTGCACTATATAATTGTGTTCTCAAAAGAATAGCGACATAATTTTTAAAAAGTTGAACGCTTGGAACTGTGTTCTTGAATTTGCATCTATAAAGAGTATACTTTCCCAGCAGAATTAAATTCAATGTTGCATTATCTAAGTGTTCATTGCCTAGAATAATATCTGTTTAGGACCACTGTGTGTTAACATCTGTACATTTTGAATTTATCCATGATTTTATATCTCCCCAAAAAGAAGAACTTGATTGGCAATCCCAAAATAAATGTTTTATAGTTTCAATATGATTGTTGCAAAAAGAACATGTATTAACATCTTTTATTCTCATTTTATGTAAAAGATAATTTGTTGCTAGTATCCTGTGATTAACTTTATACTGAAACCATTGTAAATTTGAATCCTTTGTTATATTAAAAGGGAGCCTATAAATGCCATTCCAATTAAAATCATTATTCAAATTGAGTTCATCTTCCCATTTTCTCTTAGCAGTAGATGATATATTTGCTCTAAGAATATAATCATAGATTTGTCTACATCCCTTCTTTTGACTATTTATTATCTTGATCATCAAAGGCTGAATAGGCATTTCCTCTTTCTGATGTAGGTGTCTTAAAGACAGCTGATTTAAAAATCTCCTAATATACTCTATAATGTTTTGATACTCTAAAAAATTGGTATTTATAATCAAACTTAGTTAAAAATTCATCAAATGAAAGCAAATTCCCTCTATTGTCTAAGAAGTCATTAACCAATATAATACCACAATTTACATGTCTTGAGAAACAAACAGAAGAACCACCTATTTTAAACATAGAATTATGCCAAACAGGAAGTGAGCAAAATTCACTCCAGTTCCTGGGGTACTGCTTATGTAACTGTATGAGCCCAGTAAAAACATCTTTCCAAAAATTATTTTGCACTGTCTGAAGTTTATTTATCAAAAAGTGGTCTCCATATTTACTAATATTTGATATAAATGGGTACATATTATAAACAAAATTAAAGTATTTGGTATTATACATTAAAATTATTCTTATCTATGTCAATTTTAGAGACATTATAAAAGTTTCTAAGTTTATCACTCTAAAACCTCCATTTTCATAATTCTGAATAACAACATTTCTTTTAATTTTATCTGGTCCTGACTTCCATAAGAATTTAAAGAAGGAGTTTTGTATAGCTTTAATTGTTCCTATATCAGGATTTGGCAAGCTAAGAATAAGGTGATTTAATTTAGGTAATGCTAATGACTTGATAACAACATTCTTACAATAGGGGTAATAATACGTCTTGACCAATGGGTAAATAACTTATTAATTTCCTCCTGTTTAGATAAATAATTAGCTTGAGTCATGTTATTTAAATTAATTGTAAAAGTAACACCAAGTAGCTGAAAACATTCAGATTCCCACTGAAGATTTAAGTCCGGGCAAATTTTTTGAGTATTCCCTTTCATTGAACCAATCTATACTGCTTTTGTTTTATCTATGTTAATGTTTAGACTTGCATAGTGTGTCTTAGAGACTTAACAGTTCCATCAAGCATTATAGTTGTGTCATCAGCATATTGTGATAATAAAAATTCAGAATTACATGTATTAAGTCTGATACCTTTTATATTTGTGTTATTTTTCATGAGTAATGCAAGAATTTCTGCACATAATATGAAAATGTAAGGGGATAGGGGATCGCCCTGACGACAACCGCGTTGTATTTGAAACCAGTCTGACAAAATTCCATTTATTGTAACACAAGAATGAATGTTTTTGTAAAATAACTTTACCCAACTTATGAAATTTTCACCAAAATTGAAAAACTCTAAAACTTTATGCATAAATGTCCATGATACAGAATCAAAGGCTGTTGCAAAATCAATAAGTAACAACATTCCAGGAATTTGATGATCATCTGTGTATTGCATAATATCATAAATAAGTCTTATATTGTCACCTATGTATCTTCCAGATAAGAAACCAGTTTGATCTTCACTTATAAGTTTATTTAAAACAGTTTTAAGGCGTTGGGCAATACTTGCTGATGCAATTTTGTAAGAAACATTTAATAAAGAAATAGGTCTCCAGTTTTTAATATAAAGGTTATCTTTGTTTCCTTTAGGGATGCATGTTATAACCCCTTGTTAAAAGGTATCTGATAATTCTCCTGTAACAAAAGCTTGGTTTATTGATCTAGTTACAAAATGACCTAAATCATTCCAAAAAAAAAATAAAGAAAGCCGCTGTAAAACCACTACTACCTGGGGAAGAATCATTTGACTTTTTTTTTAAACTGGCTAATATTTCATTATAAGTTAAAAGACCATCAAGTCCTTTGCTTTCTTCATCATTCAGTTTTGGTATGTTATTATTATCAAATAAAGCAGTAAGATTGACATTATCTGTTTCCCTTAAAGTATATAAATTTTTGTAATGACCAGCTACTTCTTGTAGAATTTCTTTTTGATCTGTAAGCAAAGTACCTGATATATCATATAAAGAATTCATTGTTTTTGAGACATAATTTCTGTTTTCCATGTTACAAAAATATCTTGATGGTTTTTCCCCTTCTGAAATCCATTTGGCCCTAGATCTTATAAAAACACCTTGCATTTTCTTATTTCGGAATTGAAGTAATTCTTCTTTTTTTCATCTAAAATCTGGACATTAATATTTGACTGTCTTTCTAAACTACCAGTTTCTATCATTAATTTTTCCTGAGTTTTGTCTTCTTGTTTTTTTTATAAGATGAGTATGAAATAGTTTTTCCCCTAATTTCCATTAACAGAGTTTCAAAAAATAGTTTATCGTCTATTATAAAACTTATAAGATTATTACTTATATTTTCTAATTGTACCTCTGTTTCTTGGGCCTCAGAAGCATATTGTAATTTGACCTGGGATATAACGGATTTAATTTCATTAAGTTAACATACTGTGAATCTTTCAAAAGGGAATTATTAAATTTCCAGTATGAAATACCTTTTTTAAATTTGCCAAATTGAATACTAAATAAAATCATGGAATGATCTGTTCTATAACCTGGCACAATGTCAACACTACTCATATCTGTAAAAAGGTTATTTGAGATTAAGAAAAAGTCAAGCCTAGCTTTTTTTATAGGGTTTCTTTTAAACCAAGTATACTGCCTTTTTTCTAAAAATTGTTCCCTCCAGCAGTCAATTAAGTTACATTCAATTATCATATCTAAAACAACTTCCCTGGCTTTAGGGTTATTTATGTTTAAATAATTAAAGTAGTCCATATTAGGATTTAACACTATATTAAAGTCTCCTACCATTATACATGGGTTCTCTAACTGTAAGATTTCTCTTTTATATTGTTGTAGAAGATAGGGTCATCTCTATTTGGTCCGTATATACAAATTAAAGTGATATCAATATTTGAAATGCATGCATGTATAATAAGTAAATTACCATTTTGATCTGTTTCAAGACTTTTAAATTTAAAGTCAAAATTGTTATTAATAAATATTGCTACTCCTCTAGATTGACTATTATAATTACTGAAATAGCATTCATATCCCCACTGTGAGCGGATAAAATTAACTTCTTTATTAGTAAAATGTGTATCTTGTAAAAAATATACATTGTATTTTTTCACTTTTAGGTAATTTAATACATCTTTTCTTTTTTGGCTATCCCCTAACCCTTGACCATTCATTGAGACAAAATTTATATTTTCCGTCATCATGTCAATAAATCCCTAAACAGTAATAATGTTTGACAATGGAAAAATTATCAGTTTTAAAAAAGTAATTTAAACTGCTAAGTAAAGAAAAAACCAGAAACTTGATCCTCTCTGCACTGCCCCAACATATTTTTTACTTAAAACATCTTTCCATTATACAAATAAAAATTTGAAGAGAAAAAATAACAACAAGAAGGCTGTCTGTGTTTTGTTATATTTTTAACACTTCTTATACTATAATATTGTTTAATTTAGTGTGACCTCTAATTAAATTATGTTTAAATTCACCCCACCATAACTTTTTGTAGACATACTGTACTTAATCATAAATACAAAAAGCATAAAGAAAAATTATTCATAATAAGCAAAATTGGGACTAACCATCTATACAAAGAGTAAGCTTACATGTACTTAAGTATAAATAATATGGCATTTGCTTCTTCAATTTTCACAAATCACATAATAAATCCTGATGTAATCTCTAAAAATAAGATTACAGAAAAAGCGCAAATCAATATTTCAGAGTTGTGTCTTTGTGTTATACAAACATATTTCAATATATCTGCAATTGTCGGCATGAATGGCTAAAACCCTGTGTAATATTAACAAAATACAATAACGACTCGTGATAGTTCAATTAAATACATGTTTTAAATGAAATTTCATTTGTTTACATTTCATTTCCTTGTTTGGCCGCTTACGTGATTATATTAATTTCCACAATTATCGCTTGTGCAAAAAGAAAAAGCAAACGGGCAAAACTAACTCTCAATGAACGCATCTAACAGGTCTCATCATTATTCGTAATGTTTACTTTACGCCAGCAATTCTAACCAGCTGAATTGCGTTAATAAACAGAATTAGCTTTGAAAAATATCTGTATACTGTAGCGCGATAACTGGTGACGTAGACGTTTATGTGTAAATACATGATGATTTGCATTTAGGTTAATCAAAAGCGCAATTTGTCGCATGTGATTTACTACGTAATGCACACAGCTAGTTTACGACCAATGAAAATAGAGTAAATCTAAAAAAGCTTATGACAGGGCATTTTTACATAAATCAACAAACAAAACCACGTGTGATATTGAAAATGTAACATGTGTGTATCCATCATCAGTTTTAACACATCACGCAACTAAATACAGTTTGTATCATAAATCTATCATTTCTTCAAGTCACAAAGAGTTAAATGAACCTTCTTTTCACACTTTAGAGTAAAGGCCTTGAAAGATCTGTATACATATCTACTTTCATCTTTCTTCCGTTTGTCAAAAAGGACAATAATTTTGCCCTCGTCTGACCAACAGTTTTTCACTTCCTCTTTTTGAGACAGTTTTTTCAAGTAGTCTTGCATTTCTTAATGTAAGCTCCTCCCTGATCACCTGAGTTGATCCCTTTAATTTCTTTCTGGCCGAAATGACCTTAAGTTTATGTGTCCTATATATGAATTTACAGATGACAGGCCTGTTGCCATCAACAATAAATTTCCCCATTCTGTGTGCGATATCGATGTCTGTAGGATCAAGATCAATGCCTAATTTGTCTTTCAAGAAAGTAAGTACCTTTTGCTCCGTATCTTCTGGTGTTTCATTTTTGTTGGTATCGTCCATCCCATAGATCCGTATGCTGTTTCTCCTGGTGTATTGCTCAAGCTCATTCACTTGATGCTCATTGTATCTAATTCTATCGTGATTGTTGTTTATTTTTTCGTTAAGCTCTTTGTTCCTATTTCTATGTTTTTCGTTTTCCTCGTTTACCTTTTGTAGTTCTACTTTCATATCACTTTCTGAGTTTTTTAGATGTTCTATCTAATTTTGCTTTTTACTGACCTTATCTGCTCATATGCTTTATCCATATCTGCCTTGATCTCATCACTTATGTCTTTTTTAAGTGTTTTCAAGGAAGAGGCAACGAAGTCTTCACTAATAAGGCCCTCCAGACGTGCGTCTAGCGCATTTTCAATATATTCCTTAGAAGCCAAATTATTTACCTTCTTTTCTAACCTCGTAACTATGTCCATAAGCTTTTTAAAGTCCGGCTGACTTTCTTTTGGTGCCATCATTTCGTCAATTTTTACCTGCTTTCCACTTTTGTCCGGAGTATAAGTGTCTCTTTCTAGTAATATCTTTTCTGTGATCCTTTTTGTTCGAGTCTGGCTTTTTAGGCGACCCCGTCGACACCGACACAGTTCCCGATTTTTTTTGGCGGGCCCTCACGCCCGGAACTTCCACGCCTTGTGTTCATTTTATTCCTTTATTTTTTAAATTGAAGATAGTAATATTGACGAATATTGTTTAACACAGATTACACGGATTACACAATCAAACAGAGTATGTCGCTAACAGTCACTCACCAATCCGTTTTTTCCGTGTTTTGTGTGTTGACCGCCATATTGTTTCTTTGTTAGATTCTATTGTTCATTTATAACCACAAAAAACAGCCTTCTTAATCCAATATTTACATCAAGAATATCATTTTCTGACTTTATATTCCAACATTTAACTCCACGAAACTTTTTATCTAAATAAATGCACTTGAAAGGTTATTAAATCCAAGTTATACTTTACTCGAAAGAATGTTAGTTGTTATCACCTGTATAACCTTGACCTTTTAAAGGCATATTATACATAATTACATATTATTCTGTTTGTTTATGTTTAATTATTCCAATATTATTTATTTTCATTCTAGGACTATACTGACAGGTAAGCTTTTTTTTAAATTTTAAAATCTAAAAAGAAAAAAATAAGCATGACACGTGGACATTGCAGTGCATACTTTTTATTTTTTTTTTATAAAACTCTCATTTCAAGACATGAACCTTTTTACATATTCTTTGTTGATGATCTCTATGTATGCTATTGTATGCCACGCTGCAAAGTAAAGAAATGTCAAAAAACTTTCGTTCAGAAATACTACACATTGTACTTCCATTTTTTCATCGGAATACCTCTCCAATTATTCATAACCATCTTTCTTACTGTTGCTTCAGACAAAGCTGACGACGATAATAATGCATTGATATTAGGTCTGAGTCTTGGATTAGGATTACCTCTTGTTTTGTTCGTTATCATAGCAGTCGCCTGCTGTTACTGGGTATACAACAGACGACAATATAGTCATTTGTTAAAGTAGTCCTAAATCAAACAAAATGTCCTATTTGTTACGGTTGCTTGTTGTTTCAACACTCCTATTGACTAGCCATTGCTTTTGCTCACATTTACAGATTAATCGGGAAAGAGTTTGTACAAACATGTTCTTAAACATAGTAAAACTTTCCTATCAAATTTTTCTACTTCTATTTCAATAGGTTTAGCAAATTAATAACGCATGCGCTATTCCCCTTAAACTTAAATTTACCAACAGCATTCTTTTAAACTATGTACTTTGGAATAATGTGTACGATACTTTGTAAGTGTATTTTTTAAGAAATCACGTGTGAAATAAGAAGTCAAAAATAGCAAAATATCAACACGTTGAATTGTTCATGTGTTGTGTTTTTAACTACAGTTTCAACAATTATAATGCTTAGCTTTCATTTTTAAAGCTCTTGTTTGCCACGTGAACTTAAGGCAGTATACCCTTATTGCATTACCTCCGCATTGCAGAGTATTCAAATAGGCTAGAATTACTGCCAACTGCATTGGAACTGAGGGGCGTGGTTTCTGAATATATTTCCGTCCAAATTTGTGCTAAATGAAATGTCAAATTATGAGTAATAACCACACTAGGATTTTTGTTTAGCTAAACAGAAAAAATAACTTCCTTAACCTAAAACCCCATTAGCATATTGCGAAAAATGGCCGTTTTCATTAAAAAACCTCCTGTAACAAGTTCAAACTGCTATGAAACTATAAAAAATGCTATAATACTGATGAAACTTGGAAAAAATGTTGACTGGACCATAGCCTCTGTACCAGCATGCTCAATCGTAAATTTCCTGTTACCATGGCAACAGGGGACGTCTCAAAATTGACAAAAATCACTATTTTGCATTGTTTTTTTTCCCATCAAAACTGATTTCAAAGTGCTGCAACTTCTCAGTGAATTGAGATAGAGTAAAAGGCTTTTCAGTGTAGGTTACTAGTTACCCTAAGATCGATCTGAGACTATTTTAAGTCTGTCATATGTTCAAAATTTTCTTGGCGATGAGGGGGACTACCGCCCCCTTCAAACACCCCAAACAGAAGGGTGCAAATTCCCCTTCTGGCAACCCACTGATGTATCATTTGGATGGGGGGTGGCACCGAAAAAGTGATCACTTTTTTTAAACAGCATTTCTCAAACGATAAACAGTGTTTGGGGACTAAATAGGGCATTTTTTTCACTGTTTGAGGCCTCAAAAGGGGGGGGGGACAAAAAGCCGTCAAAACACGACTATATCAGGGAATAGTATATAATGGCATGCAAGGGGTCAATTTAATATCAATGTTGCTAAGTGCAAGACTTTGTAGGACATTGATCTTTTTTGTGATTACAGCCACAAACAAAACAGGTGAAGCTTTAGGAGCTGTTATCGGATCCTCTATTGCTGTATTTGCTGTTGGAATTCTTGGTGCGATTTGTACCTTGTTTATTCATACTAGAAAAAGAATTAAAACAGGTATTGCAATAACATCGATTGTTTGTCATTTATAGAACAATAGCTATTAAATATGATTTATAAGCAAACTTTTAAATACATTTATTGTTATCGATAACACATGAAACCTTTTTTGAACACTGCATTAATTTAGATCTTTTAAGAGAAGTGCTTTAGGTTTTATTTACGGAGTTGTTTCCTTCCGTTTGGTTGTTTGTTGTTTTTCTTTGCAATAAGTCAATAATGAAACAATTACATTTGACAGTTGACAGAAGAAAATATGTGTTGATTTCTATAAATTATGTATCTTTACCGATTGATTTATTTTATAATGATTACTTTTGCAAAAATGATGAAGAATCATATACCACAAAACAGCTTAAATTTGTTATTATGTAAAACAAATAATTGAAAACAACATGTTATGTTATTCTATGAACTTTTTACCAATTTAAATGATACCAATTCTACTTTTATCAAACAGGTGTAATAAAGGTTGTTCTCTAATGTATGTTATGAACGATCTATTTTGCATGCGTATGTATTTTGAACGTGCATTTTATACGCAGTAACAGCTTAGTATTTTAAATGCTTTATTATGCTATTTGATAACACAGGCTCGAAAACTCAGCCGACAGTTTCTCATGAAACAGAATTAAATGAACCACCAACTGCTCTGTAAGTAACGAATGTTTTAATTGTATGTCTTGATATAAAATTACATGCGTATTTCGTTCTTTCCAACAACTTTTCCAACATAATATCAAAATTAAGATACATAACATGATTTTATATATTAAACAATCGAAAATCATGATTTTATAATATGTCATAATTCTATGAAAAATCAGTTTAAACTAAAAATAAGCAAACTTTGGAGTGGCCTTGTTGCTGCATATCATCAATCAATCTCATTCGTTCTTTGACGAGAACGCTTAAATTGATAAATTTGACATTGAACTTTGACTCGTGTTTTGAAAATCATTTCTACTAGGGACACCTACGAGCAACTTCAAAACAGAACAGATACTGAAATCAGGGGAACTTATGATTCTCTTGAAGGTATGTTGAATTTCAATTATTTATTTCATGTCGTTACTTATTTAACATATATTTAATCTATAATCATTCGGTTTGGTATAATAATATTACAACTGAATATGTTTAATATAGATCGTGTAGCATTGTAAAACACATATATTCGATCAAAACATTTTCAAATAAAGTATTTTGATATTTCTTATATAAAGTCTGACATGTATTTGTTTATAATGTATACATAGTATAATTGCTATTAAAACAAATAAAATGTTTTTCGTCACAATATTGACTACTCTTATTCAAAATTATGTTTCAGTCAGCTCCAGTACATAAAACAGGTATGGAAATCATAAATATTTAAGTATTTAGTTATTTTCTTAGATAGCTTTAACACAAAATATCCATTTATATCGAGTTTGACAAAATTGATCTTTTAATGCAATGCTCTTCATAAACTAAATTCTTAGATAGCTTCTTTCGTACATATTGTTGACCAAAGACTGTAAACTGAATGTTCGACATAATCATGATTATAAGTGTTATTAGATCTGTATTTTTCAGTGCTTATTGTTTGTTACTCTTTTCTCTATGTTTTAATTGTCCATTATTACATGTTCGTTCATTTGTCTATTTTCAGCGAATCACAGTATAAGAGTCTGAATCAGGAAGCAGAGAAATATCACACATATACAGATCTAAAACAAAGCCGATAAATCTGAAGAACCTACTTGAGAGATTCGCCTTGAGCGTTCTTGTCTGTTCGGGAAACTTTATAGAAGGATTGTTTGTAATATTCGTATTCCTGTTATTTTAATACAAGAAAATGAATGAAAGAAATCGTTAAACAAATAGTCTCACTGTACATAAAGATAGAAGAGGGGTTTGTGTAATAGATGAAAAGGGCTATGTATTCTGTTATATATACACCATTGAAATAAGTTAAGCACACCCGGCATTTTGCCTCAATTTTGACATGACCAGAACTAAAATCTTAAATTTTATTTGGGCAATGGTATTAACCACTTTTAGTCAGCCTGCAACAGCTGGAACAAGCTTTGCAACAAGAGTGGCAACATTTACCTCAAAATCGCATTAGACGCCTTACTGGTATTATGAGAGGAAGAGTTGAGGATATCATCCGGGCACGTGGCGGCAACACACACTACGAAAAATTCGTCTACAAAATGTTATTTACCAAACATATCTACCAGTAAATGTTTTGTAAACTCTTCAACTTATAAACACTTACACTTTTTGTAAAAAAAAACACTAATCACTTATTGTGCTTATGCTCCTATTATTTGGTGAACTTAGAAAATCTAAACTAATAAGTTTACTTGTTTTTGATTACTTATTTGATATCGCTACTAATCAAATCAATATTTCTTAGCTTAATTAAGTCGTCATCTCATGACAGTGCTTTCAATCAAAAACAGTTTTAAATTTCCTGGGTGTGCTTAACTTATTTCAAGGTGTATATATAACGGGTTTTTTGAAAAAATACTGTTTTAGGACTAGTATTTCGGGCATTTATTTTGCTCCTTGAATTATTCAACATTTTTTAATTGAATTATATACATTTTATTATTCACACTTATAAATCTTAAATATGTGTAATATCAAAAATAAATTGATTGACCAATGTTCATTTCAGATAGATAATTGCAAATCAAGCTTATATTATCCTTTGATAATTTTGCTAAAGCGTGCGTGGTTTTTATTCTAGTGATATTTTGTCATAATAAGTATCTTTCTTTTTCTTTAAATAAGACATGAAACATTTGTATTCACTTATTACCTGTGTGTATGTCAGAATTACTATATTATTGTTCGTTCACCTGTTTATTCATCTGTATGGAACTTCTATAAGAACTTATTGGTTAGATACGAATTTAACCGTGCTTAAATTATCATGTGAATAAGGACAGAAGACTCTTCAAATATCATACTTGTAAAACCGATGGAGTTATAGGTTAAACGTTTAATATTGTATTATTATGTAATGTTTCTTTGTAATATATATATAATTGACGATTTATGGGTACCTTTATTGCGTTGAAAGCCATTGAGAGTATTTGAGAAAGGCGCCTTATATAGATTTAACGCCGTCTTTGACGTTGGACGTGCGCCGCGATTCAGTTAGTTGCCATGGTGTTTATGGCATATTTTTGTTGTTTGTTGATATTTATCTATGAAAATTTATGAAAATGATTAAATTTTATGGGTTTATAACATATTAAAATATCAAATTCGTACCTGTTTTATTTAGCTTTAAATCAATCTTGTCACAGAATATTGGGACAACCCTCGTATGTGTAATATCAAAATTAAATTGATTGACCAATGTTCATTTCAGATAGATAATTGCAAATCAAGCTTATATTATCCTTTGATAATTTTGCTAAAGCGTGCGTGTTTTTTATTCTAGTGATATTTTGTCATAATAAGTATCTTTCTTTTTCTTTAAATAAGACGTGAAACATTTGTATTCACTTATTACCTGTGTGTATGTCAGAATGGCTATATTGTTGTTCGTCCTCGAATTACACAAAGCTACAGAGCAATGCTAATTGAACTCTGAGCTAGATGCAGTCACGGTCCCCCGTTGGGCGCCAAATGCCACAGGGTGAGCAAAAAGTGCAGCCTGACCGGGACTCGACCAACTGAGCTATCCGGCCGCTTACACATCTTCACCCCTTAATAGTGAACAGTTCTGAACCGTGACATTGACATGTAAGTTTATTTGAACAAGTGCTGCGGGTAACCGTTATTGTTCAAATTAAATCTAGTTTGTATGCCATATATTGAGTTATAACTCTTTCTGAAATGCCTAGAGCCAGACAAGCTTGTGCATCCGGGCAATCTGACTTGCTTCAAAACAGCAGGTGTCAAGTGCTGTGTGGCAGCTGTAAAAAGTTGCCCCGTACTTCACTTCAGTGTTGTTATATTTTTCTGGTCCTTCGGGATCATTGATGCCAGCACTATCAATTGTTGAGAATTGAGTACCGCTCAAACCAGTGCTAGGGGGCGTGAGGGATGTTGCACATATTCATTATCCCTCATGTACAGACTCAATCAAACCAAGTCTGCAATTCTCTTGTAATTTTGTTGTGATTAATACTTCCGAGGGAGCACTTTGTTTCCAGATTTGCATAGAGCCAAGTTAAGCTTGTACATCCGGGCAGTCTAACTTGCCTAGAACCAAGCAAGCTTGTACTTCGAGACAGTCTGACATGCCTAGAGCCTGGCAACCCTGAACATCCTCGCATTCTGACTTGCTTAAAGCCAAGCAAGCTTGTTCATCCGGCATTCTGACTCGCATAGATCCAAGCAAGCTTATACATCCGGTCAGTTTGGCTTGCCTTGAGTCTGGCAAAATTAAATCATTAAAGATTGAATAAGCTGTCCAAAAAATTTAAGGCAAATTCAATTAAAGTATATAGAAGTTTTTTTTTGTTCATCATGACAATATTAATATGAGCATTTTATTTATATATATTAAGCATTATTACTTAAATTGTAACAGGGAATCAACAAGATAGTTCTACTTGTTTCGTCATTGAATATTTATGTGAACATAATTGCTTGCTCACAATTTGTATTTGTAACCCTTTTTAAACTTTTTACTTGATTTTGTTAATTATGTCATTGTGTATTTCTTATTTACATATAATATATGTTTTAACAGAGACTTTTATAACAGAAGGTTAAGAAGCTCTAAAAATAGGAAATTTTCAAATTTTGACCAACAATCCTTTGTTTGAAATTCCCTTGGAGTTGATTAATTCCCGCCATCTTATTTTATATAACAGAATTTGTTAACATTTAATCCAATACAAAGAATAATTTACATCTTCTTAATCTGTATTACGTTTTAATACCTTTTGGAAACTTCTTTTTTATTATCATAAGAATATTTATATAACATGTATACATAATTATATAAGTATTGGTAAAATCTCTGTCTCGGAAAATCTCGCAAACATGTGATCTTGCACGATTTTAAATCCTTGTCAATAAATTACATTATTTACGCTCAATCGTTCATTAGGATCTTGTTCTGAAAAGTATACTTTATAATTATTATTTAAATGTTTCTTTTTCTTATTTCAGTATTAAAGTTTGGAACAAATAACCTTTTGCTTATTATCTTAATTATTTTGAAATCATCTATGATAACCATGATTAAAATATTAGTGTCGAACAGATGAATGAATGAAAATGTCTAACCTTTACACTCAAGAATATATTACTTTTATGTTTGTACAAAAATTTAATTTTAGATTTTGTATTGATCTACATTTTATTCTTTTTTATTATTAAATTAGAAGGCCGTACAGAAAGCAAGTATACTTTTTACTATTTAAACTTTGTATGTTACCTTCTATAAATAAAGATTTTATCATTATATTATTTTGATATTTTTTTAATGTATGACGTCATTGCTTCCTCTTCATATATTATAATATATCTCTGTGATTTATATGTGATATTGTTACACATGTATATGATGGTTAGTTGATGCTACAATAATAGTTCGTCAGTCCTTTCTTTATAAAATTTATTTTCTTTGATTTTTTCACGTTTTCATCAATGTATCTACTAGATCGTTATTAACACATAGTCATAAATGTCAGTTAAGCGAAAATGGATATAAATGTTTAAAAAGACGCATCAATCTTCCGTGATCTTATTTTCATTGGATATAGGGTGAAAACAAGGTGTGGATCGGTGGAAACGATGGAAGTTCCAAAATAACCCGTTAAACTCGTACTTCAAGGTACAGCACTTTGTTTGATTCCCGGGTATAAATTGCAAGATTCCTGTACATTGGCACAAGATTTTTTTATCAGAAGTTGCTGATTACTATGCTAGAGTCCATCGACGTATCTGCGTTCGTGGAATTAAGCTACATTGCACGACACCTATTGATAAAAAGTTGTGGTTCTTTCTTTTCTTTGGGGCAGTAATATTGAAACTATACATGAACTTCATCCCTCATACAGCTCTGAGTTAGCTCCATGTGTTTAGTGACGCAACCCATACATTACAAAATAAATGAGAGGTCGCCGCTTTGGATCCGGTAACACTGTCGGCAGCTCACTTTAAACTAAAACAAATAGTTAACCGCTTTGAGTCATGCAACGATGTCCGCAGCACATTTTTCCAGTGTTTTAAACACTATACCTAAAGAAGCCTTCTGCAATACTAAGTAGAAACAAGCTTTGATCGTTACATGACTCTAATCTGTCTGATTTTAGTTATCAGATTATTGGATTACAAAATGAATATCCCCACTGTGTGACAATGTCTATTAATGAAAGAAAATATGACAATGCTCACAGTTAAATCTATTATTATTTTAATAAAAGTATTGATCTCTCAATTGTTTTTATCTTATCCAGAACGTGGCAAATGTTGGTCTTTCCAAGCCAGTCCATCGGTAAGAAACATAAGTTTACTGTAATAGCTTTACGGGCACAAGTACAATTTAAAGATAAGTCAATCTGCTGTGCTACTTTTCGAAGAAAGTAACTGTAATAAAAGTTTGTTTGTCCCCCAGATTTAGCTGGGTTGGAAAACCCAACATTTTTTTTATTTCCAAAGTATATTATAACAGAATCTGGATAATATTTAATTGTCTCAATATTTCATTTCTAATCTATGTGTGAGTCATTTTACTTTACGTGCAGTAACTGTTAATTATTGAAGATTTGTTGATTATTTTTAGTGACAGATCCTGTTTCAATCAAGTTTCAAAGGGAAATGAAAATACATGTATTATCTTTCATCATGACGACTAATTTCTTGTGGATATACTTTTATCATTTCAAATGACTTCTGTATGGAGATTGGTCATTTATATTGACATCTGATATCTTGTTTGTAAGTGAGGAGTGAAGATTTTGCAGAATTTTGGTCTTATCAAAAAATATTGTGTGTTGCATCTATTGATTTTTATCTTTTACCTCACACTTCTATTGCGAGCATTTTTTCTTAATGTCATAATTATGTTCTGTATTATTGTTCAGACTAAGCAATATTTTTGCTCCATTTCATGACATTCTTTGCTATTATATTTAACTAAATAAGTAGTGAAGTCTTCATAAGTAACTCAGAAACACATTCTTGAAAATAGATATGTTACCTATTCAATAATCAAAGAAAAACAAAATTATTGCACAATGATTTCACATTCTCCAATAATGAATCTCAGTTAAAAAAATATTGAATAATATATTTTAATGTTGTCATTATCACTTGCAAGGTACAAAATGTAGATGCTAATACTTGTACAGAAGACATGTTAAGAATTTCTATATTTATTTTTTCATTTAACATTTGATCTACTTAAGTTATCGTTAGTAGTAGCAATGTTTTATTGTTATGTTAATGTTTAAAATATTTCATTGGATATCCGTGGCAAATTGATTATGGTTGTTGACTTAAACTTGACAAAGTATTCGCCCCCCCCCCCCCAAGGGTAGGTTCGAATTCTACCAAGAACATATGATTATTTTATGTGAAAAAGCTATCCAGCTAGCTTACGAAACATCGGTGGCTCTTCTCAGATGCCAGCTTATACCGGAAATAATACACAGAAGGGTATTTAAGTTTTCATCCACCAGTAAAGCAGGAAGTCGCCATATTGACCTTAATAGTGCTGTTTCAACGTAAAACAAAATAAAAAAAGAATATGTTTTATCAAGGGCTTATAAAAGATGTTCCTCAATACAACTGACTTAACATCTTAAAATTTCCATATTGAGATTTACATCTTTTAAAATATTTAATTAATTAAAAATAAATTATAAAAATTGTTTGTTGAACACTAATCAGATTGTTTTGATCTTTTTGTATCAAGTGGTGATTTGAACATAAAATTTGCCGAGGACAAAAAAGTATGCAATCTGAAAAGAACAACTGCAAATTGAGGTTCCTTATTGCGGTTTACAAATTATCATTGTTTTAGATCATCAATTTGTTAAGAGTTTTTTTATTTAACTTAATTTATGTTCTTAAAATTTAGATATATTCAATATATCTTTTTATTCAATCAAGTTACAAACTGAACCGTTCGGGGTTTTCTTATTTTATAGGCAGAGCAAGTTTTATTTTCATGGATCCTCGGGATATACTAGTTTTCACATCATAGAAATTCGATTATCCCCTATGTCAGTTACAGGTTTCGCACAAAGTTTGACATTCAGAAACTCAAAATTGTTACTTATTTTGATAAAGATTTTAAGTGTATGACGTCATAAGTTCCTCTACATTTTATTATATCTCTGTTATTTTACATGTGATATTGTTACACATGTTTATGATAATGTGTTGATGCTACGATAATAGTTTGTCAGTCCTTTCTATATAAAATTTAATTTCTTAAAAATTTACGTTGTCATCAATGTATCAATCTTCCGTGATCTTTTTTATCCATCATGGTTTTCCATATAGTGTTTTATATCTAAGCTTTATACTTAAAGCAAGTTGCTTCAGCGTAAGATGTTCAGGTGTGTCAATTTATTGGAATGTCTTTAATTTTACCAACCAAAATGTCGGCGTGGAACGGATAACCGCGTGTCTGCACCCTTGGGCCCTGGATGAGTATTGAGCTGTTGACTAGCAACAAGGACCTGCGATCCTTGATTTTTGGATGGAAGCCACTTATAATCAAACGAATGTTTTAACTTTTATATATAAGCATTGATTGAAATTTTTCATGGTAATATATCTTGTACATATTTTGCTCGTAGTTTATAGTATTACTATAAGAAATCCTGCATTTCATTTCCTTGTAAATAAAATTATAAATATTGTATTGAGTTGTTGGTTTGTTCTGTATTCAGTTGTATGTCATCTCCATCGTTGTCAACATGTGACAGTAAAAAAAACTAACCGAGGGAAATTGCAATCTAGTGCATTTTAAAGGAACTCCACTGAGGTCCAAAAGCCTGAAAATTTAAAATTTGAATTTCTTACATAGATCAGCTGGGGCATTTAAAACAGCAAAATATACACAGAGAAATTTAGAAATATACTCAGAAATAAATTGAAAATCGCATTTTTGTGCTATTCTTAGTTGATTTGAGTGATAAGCCTTGCAACGTATAAGTCTATTGTAATATTTCAGAATAAGAACAATTATTCTGGAAAATTGGAGTGAGCAAATGATCTGAAATTTTGCTCATATGGTATTGTGTAAGACTTACACCAAATGAAAAGTCCCGTCAAATAAAAAAACCTCAGTGGAGTCCCTTTCATTTTTAAATACAGCTGTTAACTTCTTTTCACAAACATAATTTCAGAGATAAGAACAGCAAGCTAGTTTTCTTTTAAATTAGTCGATTACTGAAAAAAAATCTACATATTAAATAGAGGTTTCTAATGTATTGTCCCTTATTGTAACGTTTCTACATTTCCAAGAAAATGTCACATCAAACTAATATGAATGATGCTGAATAAACTCTTGCATTTAGACTTACTAACAGGGAAAAGCCCCTTTCTATCAATTCAGGGAAAATAACATGTTAAGTTTACTTAAGTGAAAGACAACCTTTAATGTAAACTAAATATAATGGAATCTTCATAAATTTGAAATAATGCCCGAGGGAAAGAAACATATTGATGACCCCTGCTATAGAAGAAAAAAACAAAAAAAACAATGTAAAATACGAAGTTTTGAAATGTTATTGGTGAAAATTTCACATCATCTTTGAAGCCAAATTTTATTCAAAATTATAAAAAAGTATTTTCTCTTTTTAAAAGAAATATAAGATATATCTAAAAGATAATAGACACCTTTAATTTACATGACCTTTATATGACATTGACCTTTAACCCTTTACCTCATATAGACGTGTTTTGAAGGGTTTTCGACCCCCCCTTTTTTATAGGCCTCAAACAGTAAAAAACAAGCAAATTCGTTGAATTTATATCCCCCGCCGAGTACTGGTTATTATTAACACAACAACTGAAGACATAAGGCTTTATTTATATATTAATCATGGCATAAACAGTAATATTCTTTGAACTTGATAAATATTCAGGGAAATAACAGAGCCATAACTCTGTGTTAAATAGTAAAATCTGGAAATGCCAATGAGATGTATGCATACTACATAACTAATCAAGGGCCATAAATCTGAGTTATAAGTATCTGACTGGAACAAGGCGACTATATGCACATCTCCTCTTAGAATCCAATAAAGTTTCATTGAATTCCAGCCGGTGTTAGCAGAGAAGTAGCGAGATAACAAATATTTTTCTATATGGATACTGCATGACTAATCAAGGGGCATAACTCTGAGTTAAAGTGTCTGACCGGAACAAGCCGATGATATGCGCATCTCCTCTTGGTAATGAAGGTTCCCATAAAGTTTTGTTGAATTCCAGCCAGTAGTTGCA